CAAGTGCAACCTAAGCCCAATTGGAGAATGTATGTTGGAGACGTTTGGCAGATGTAATGTGACGGGTCATCCAACCAACGTGGTAGTGGGGCTGGCGTACTAATCATGACCCCCGAAAGGGCGATAATAGAACAGGCTGTCAAACTGGGCTTTGATGCATCAAACAATGAGGCCGAATACAAAGCATTATTAACTGGCCTACAGAATGCACTTCACCTTGGTGCGCGGCGTCTGCCTTTTTTTTGTGACTCAAAAGTAGTAATCAACCAATTGAAAGGGGAATATGCAGCCAAAAATGATCGCATGGCAACTTATATAAAAACGGCAAATTCTTTGCTCACAAAATTTGATCACCACGAACTGAATCAAATAACCCGAGATCATAACACGCATGAGGACGCCCTAGCTTTCCTAGCCTCTGCCATTAACTCAGAAGTTAAGCAGACAATCGAAGTAGGGTTCGTCCCTGAGCCGAGCATTGCCTCTTCAGAATCAGTTCAGATCAATGTTATTGAACCAGGTCCGAGTTGGATAGACCTTATCGCTGCATTCCTATTCTCAGAGCAGCTCCCAACGGATAAGAAAGAGGCACACAAACTGCAAAACAAAGCCCTCTGATATTACTTGGATCCGCAGGAAAAGCTTTACAAAAATCTCTCTCTGGACCATACTTAGAATGTGTTCACCCGGATAAAGTCGAGGAACTCTTGTCTGAAATACACGAAGGCAGTTATGGTGCCCATTCGAGCAGACGATCTCTGGCCCATCGAGCTGTAACGCATGGGTACTATTGGCCAACCATGCGAATCGATGCTGAGTGTTATGTCAAGAAATGTGAACAATGCTAGAAGTTTTCCCCCTTAACTCATCTACCCGCCGAGGAGTTAAACTCTATCACTAGTCCTTGGCCGTTCGCTCAATAGGGGATTGATATCGTCAGACCATTACCTCGGGCTCTTGGGAACAAGCGATTCTTAATTGTCGCGATGGACTATTTTACAAAATGGGTCGAAGCGGAGGCGCTAACACGTATTCGATATGCCGACATTAAGCCTTTTGTATGGAAGAACATCATAACGAGATTCGGCATACCAAGAGCGCTTGTCTCAGACAATGGTACCCAGTTTGATTGTGGCGTATATTGAGAATTGTGCAACACTTATGGTATCCGTCCCTACTTTTCATCACCGGCTTACCCACAAAGCAACGGTCAAGCGGAAGGCCACCAACAAAGTTATTCTGGACGGCATCAAGAAAAGGCTGGAGAAATCTAAAGACAGATGGGCCAAAGAGTTGCCCAGCATGCTGTGGGCTCATCGCACTACTCCAAGGCGATCCACTAGGGAAACGCTGTTTGCTCTATGCTTCGGAACCCAGGTAATCATCCCCTTAGAGATCGGCCTTCTAACTTTGAAAATAAAGGTTTTTGACATGGGTCGAAATGACATGATGTTGGCCTTGGACTTGACTCTGATTGATAAACGCCGAGACCGTACCCTTGTTTCCATGGCATGATACCAGCAACAGTTCGCTAAATCGTGTAATCAACGTGTATAGCTACGTCGTTGTACACTAGGAGAATTGGTCCTCAAGAAAGTGCTTCCCGCTGCTAGGAATCCCGCAGACAGAAAGTTGGGTCCTAACTGGGACAATCCCTATCAGATTGGCTCAATCGCAGGGACGGGGACATATCGGCTCAAAGACATGGATGAAAGAAGTTTGCCGCATCCCTGGAATTCCACACACTTGCACAAATTTTATTATTAAGCAAACGTGTACGTCTTGACAGCTTGTTTTGAATTTTTGTAGTGTACATCTTTCATTTTTCTAATGCAATGCCTTTTTTCTCCTGTCTTGTGAGCTATGTTGTAAGAGTAAACCTCCGAATTTAGAGCGTCCTTCGTGGATATCACGATTTGCCAACTTAAAAGGCCTTCGAATTCGAAGCCCCATGTTTGAATGACACGCTTGGGCCGAGTAAGCCTCCGAATTCGAAGTGCCCTTGGTAGATATCACGATTGGCCAACAAGAAAAGCCTCCGAATTCGGAGCCCCATGTGTGAATGACACGCTTGGGCCGAGTAAGCCTCCGAATTCGGAGCGCCCTTCGTAGATATCACGATTGGCCAACAAGAAAAGCCTCCGAATTCAGAGCCCCATGTGTGAATGACATCGTCAATACGCTTGCCAGAGCTGGCAAGCATAGTCACCAAATGATGGTCGGTGTCCTTGGCCATGAGGAAATATCACCCCTGCCGGCCAGAGGATTTGGCCAAGGCATAGCAATGCCGAATAGCGGAGATTCCAAGATTGAGCCTAAGGCGTCAGTTTAGTTCTACAATTCCCATTATGATTCGATAAAAATTTACGTTAAGCTAAGAAGGGATTAGACCCCAGTGACAAAGGACGGCCCTCAAAAACGGGTGAAGGGGGAAACGGACTTCGCCCTCAGCGATTGACAGGAGAGGAAAGATGATTGTACTCTCATCGGTCCTCTCCATATCAATTATGCTCTCGACCACGAGTGACAAATGGACGTCATCAAGAATGGAAAAATGGCGTCAAAAACCAGAAACTCGATCCGCAGAAAGAAGGGCTTTCAGATGTTTCGCCATCCTAGCCAATATAGGAAGTATGCTAAACTAAATAAAACAAACAAGGAAATGGCAGTCGAAATGGAGAAGATGAGAACTTACAAGAAGTGGAGAAGACAGTGAGGAACGAGGACAAGTTACAGAGGTCGTGAAATGAAGGAGGCAAACTGGCAGGTAACCAAGAAGCTTTTCGTATTCAAAAAACATACATTCGAAGGGACAACACGGTTTCAAATCGCATTAAATGAATGAAGCGTATGAAAGGACGGGAAATTATAATAATTCATAGAAAGGGTGAACGCTTTGACACTTGCGTTGGAATAAGGGAAGCCGCAGTATTTTTGACTCTCCAAGTTCAAAACCAAAATGCCGACTAACTGGCATTAGTAGGATGTTTAGGGGGTAATTGTGGGAGCCGAATAGCTTTTATGTGTAAGCCAAACAAATTTGGGAAAAATCAGGATATATGTTATTCGGCTCTGCCCAGGGGAATCCTAAAGCCGAATAGATAAATCAGCCATAAAATCAGTTGAAAAAAAAGCCGAGTGGAAATTGGCATACAACAGAAGGGCAGAATGAGCAATCATGCGATGGATTAAGAGTGGGCCTGACCCTAGGACCCAGAAGCAAATATAAATAGAGGAATATCAACTTATCAGAAGTATGTGAGAACAAACAAAATAAACTTAAGACACAAGTTAATGAGAGTCATATACTAACTTATCCGTCGGAGTGGTAATTTCAGCACCACCGACTGGAGTGTTAATCCCTTTTTTAGGTGGCAATCAGAGGATTAGGAACGTTCTTTAGGATCCAAGAGTATTTCCAAACCACTTCACCACATGAATAATTAAAATGAAAAATCTAGTCCTCTTTGAGCATTGAAGAAATGTGTTATCCTTTAATTTAGGGTAAATTACAAACACACCTCCTGAAGTTTACTTAAACTATAAATTACCCCCTATGGTTCTAAAAATTACATTATGCTCCTTAAGGTTTCTAATTTCATAACAAATAGGTCCTTTTATTAATAAATTATCAAGTTAATTAACAGTTTTTAATAATATTAAAATTTTATTTCAATTAATAATTCAGATAATTTTATTATTGTATGGATGAACAATTAGTAATTTCACTTTTTCAATTAATTCTGTTAAATAAAAAATTTTGATAGGGAAGTATTTGTAATTTTCCAAACTACAGAGAGTAATTTATATTTTAAGCAAATCTCAAAAGGTGTATTTATAATTTACCCTTTAATTTTTTGCATTCCCCAGATGGGAACATGATCACTGAATATTTGTCTGTATGTCTTTCTTTCCAACATGTGAACATGATCAATGTAAGAATAGTGTGGTATACAAATCGAAAATTTATACAAAACTTTTATGTGGAATGTTTATATCAATTTTGGGTCAAATATCATTTTAAAAACTGACCAATGTAATTTAAATTTTTCAAGAAAATTAGTGCCGCATAATTTTAGTATGAAAAATTTGTGTACTTATAGATCATTATAACAATTCCGCTACATAGCTCGAAAGTTCTGAGTTCGAAATCAGCCCGAATCTAAAATGACGTCGTTTTGAAATAGATTTTTTTCCTTTTTTTTTTTTAATCCTTTCCAAGCAGCAGAAGAAGAAGAAGAAAGAAGAGAGGGAGAGGAGCAGAGAGAGAAAGAGTGGAATTTTTTTTCTTTCATTCTTTCCATAACTAGAAATCAAACCAAAAATCATCATCAACACAACAGAAAATCAAATCAAAAATCATCATCAACACAGCAGAGAGAGAGAGAGTGGAATTGTTTTTTTTTTTCATCATTTCCATAACTAGAAATCAAACCAAAAATCATCATCAACACAGCAAAAATCATCATCATCAACCAAACACATCATCATCATCACACATAAAAATTAACCAAAAAACAAACCCACAATAGAGATCAACCAAAAAAAAAAATGTAAAAACCCACCCAACATATCAAAATCAAAATCAAAAAACAAACCAAATCTGCACAAATCTACCATCACCATCACCATTACCATCACCGTCCGTCGCACCGTCGCCCACATCTCGCACCATCACCATCTCCATCTCTTTCTTCCTTCCAGCTCTCTCTCTCTCTCTCTCTCTCTGTGTTCGCTCTCCCTCTCTTTCTTTTCGCTTCCTCTCTTTCTTTCACTCTCTCTCTCTCTCTCTTCCTTTTCAGATATAAAGGTGAAAGAAAGAAAAAAATTATCAAAACGACGTCGTTTTGACATTCGGGAGATTCGGGCCATTGCAATTTCGAGCTCTCACGCATTTTCCTTTTAGTAAACATAATACTTAAAAAATTAAATGACATTTAGCGACACACTTCACACCATTTTGGTTTAGAATTCTTTCTCTCTAAATCTTTTTGTCTCACTATTCCAAAACCCTCTTAACATTTAAATTATAAAAATAACAAACACACGCAATCCAATAAATATCGATGAGTTACAACAGAATAATAAAAAAAAATTAAAAATAGGGAATCCTCAACCCACTATCTTTCCGTGTTGCATAACTTCCACATTTGATCTTTCCATGCATCCCCATCTATGAACTCACTTCCTCGCATGCAATTACTCAAAACTAAAATCAAACAGAGAGAATAAATTTGCAAGGTGTTAAATTGGTACAATTTATTGTATTAAGCTGCCTAACATCAAACTACACACTTGTGACCTAATTGGTTAATCCGGCGGTGAATTTGATTCCTGTATGCGGCAACCACGACCGTCCATCGATAAACCTCCCAGCTGTGAAAAAATTCGCTGCCGCAGCGTCGCGAATGATATGGTAACCTGGCCACTGGACCCGGCCCGACAACGACGAACCAGGCCCATAATTCCTATACTCACCATACCACAATGTGCTCAAAGCAAAGTCCCCATACCACTCCAACCACCCTCTGGGCTGGACCAGCCCACTCATGTAAGTGTTCAAATAAACAGTCCTGGAATATTGTTTCCAGGGCCTGCCTAAGTAAGTGGGCATTGTGGCATAGACATAGCTGTCCTGGATTGAGAATCCAGTGCTCTGGTGAGGGTCTTTTCTGCCTTGGGCAGTGATTGTGACTTTTTGCATTGGTAAGGGCTGCCTGGTGAAGATTTTGCAGTTCTGGAGGACCGCTGCACCGTTGCCGAAGATGAAGTCGATGGTGCCGTGGATGTTGCATTCACGGTAGAATTGACGGAGTGAGTGGATGTAGAGGGTGTCTTGGTAGCCTTCCATGCTGCATCGGAAAAAGGCAGATTGGTCGGAGTCGACACGGAGGGCCACGGCTTGGTGGCTTTGGGGTCCGGCCGTGTTCCGGAATGTCATGTCCCTTGCTATGAAGCCTCTCCCGGAAACAGCTAAGGAAAAAAAAACAAAAGATTGAAGCAAGAGAAATGTCACTTATTACTTACCACAATACCATGAAAATACTGCAAAGCACAACCCAAAAAAATGTACAAGGAAATGAAATACGTAACCAACATTTATTTTGGATCTAGCTTACACACTAAATTTGAAGATATATTAGACACTTTATTTTCTTGATATTTTCCGTTTCACAATAAATGGCATGTGAGAGTCAAACCTCCAACCGCTTGTACATGAGAGGTATTCTCAATAACATTGTTGAACCACGTAAAAAGATTTTTAAGAAAATTGACAAAATTCATCCAGTAATATATAGGTCTTCGGAAATCCTATTATGGGATCTATGTATAGAATGAATTGAGCTATAGATTGATATTTCTAGTAAAATTCTGAGTAAACTTTGTAAGTATGTAATATTACTGATGTTTTTCCATAAAACGGATTGCTTGTTTATTGACATGCCAATATCTTGGGAATACAAATGAAGTATGGCAAGGCACTCACCAACAGTAGCAGTCCTAAATGTAGTCCACCCCTGCCTGAAATTCCGATCCCCTGTCACCACAGTGGCTCCAATGCCATCCCCAACAAACATAATATTGGTCTTCTTCTTCTTCATATCAATGTTCTCTCTATAAACCCCTTTCTTTATATAAATAATGTACCTCCTGTTACTATAATTCGGAGCTTCATTAACAGCCTGTATGATCGACCGGTAATGGCCACTCCCATCCAATGCCACGACCGCATCGACGTGCATTCCATTCGGACTCGGAGCAAGAAGATCTTTATCTCCTTCTGTAACCCACTTGGGATATTCCATGGCTTGATTGGTTTTGGTGTTGTTTCTTGATGGTTTGAATGGCAAGCTATGTAATTGACTGTACAATGTCAAGACATTACCGATGAGCTGTGTGACCTGTTTAGGAAATGAGGACGGTGATGATGTCAGGAACAACGGATACCATTGCATCAAGGGATGTTACAGACATCGATGTCCTTAAGACAATTATTGTGTTAGTGTGCAACGGAAATGACAAATTGTCTCCAGGATACAATGAAGTCCGACCTATACTGTGTCAATTTTTGTTTTGCACTAATGAAAAATGACCCTGCATACTCAAGTACTGTATAAAATTGAACAGGTCTGGAGTTCTGACAGAACCAGAAAAAAAGAGTAAGGACTCAAATTTTTATATATTTTTACAATTCCCAATCTGATTTATATAGAAGAAAACATGACTATTCCGACAATCATATATCTACACTTTGAATTTAAATTAATATGACTGTTATTAGCAGTCATAAATTATCCTTAACAATTACAACCATTGAACTTTTTAACCGCAACCGTCTTAAACTGTCATTATCAGTTACAATCATTGAGATTGACAAAAATCAAGTGTCAAGTGCAATAGTACATGTTAGCATAGCCCTGGTTCTCTTTAAATTAAGAGAATTTTTCATGACTATTTATTAAGGCTTTGTTTTTTGGGTACTAAACCCAACCTTAAATCTTTGGGCCCAAAAGGATATTGATATGTCCAAGAGGACCCTTATCTGTCCAAAGCTTACCTATTTATCTAATTGTCCAAATGTCATGTATCTATACACTTGTCACCTATCCGTCCACTTATATGTCCAAATGTCACCTGTTTATTCACCTATTTGTCCATCTCACCGCAACTGGTCACTGTTGGCAACTTTTGGTGCCTCTTCTAGCCTCTTTTCCAATAACTTTTCAAGCACTGGTGGCTTTTCTGGTTCCAATAACTTTTTAGCGCGTGTTCTTATCACCAAAAAAGATTAAACCTTAACCAAATAATATATACTCCTATAGGTGTAGACTTTTCACCAATCAACCCTAGTTTTTTACCTCTTTTTCCTATGTGTGACAAGGCTACATAAAGGCAAAATGAAAGTTTTTCAAAAACCCAAAAAAGCTCCAAAACAACTTTAAGTATTTGAAATTATTTCAACATGACCTGTGCTAGGCTTCCTCTGATGAACCTTTCAAGACGCCGGTCTGTGCCTTCGAAGCCTTCAAGACAAGTGTCTTGGTTACTCAGCGCGGCACTTAGCCAAGCTTTCAAGTCCCCTTCGTAGTGAAAGTTTGTCGAGCCTGCTCGGATCTTGTTCATCTCAGTCAAAGACCAGGCCAATTCAGAGACTGAGAAGTCAAGGAGTTCTTGGCAGTCTTGAATCGCAATCTGCTCACGGGGACTGATCGATAAGGTGTTGAACTTTGTGACCACGCCCATGGCTTGCCTTGCCTCATTGAGTGTGGTCTCGAGCGCGGCTTTGAGGATTGAATTTGGATTCTGGTTTTCAAGCCTGGCTTGTATGTTTGAGAGGCATGAGCTTTGGTTTTCAATGTTGTAACAAGTTTGAATTAGCATTGCTTGGATTGTTTGGTTATGGTCTGTTGATATGGTTCCATAGGAGAGGACTTGGATGGAAGACAAAAAAATGAAAACAAGAAGGAAATTGGGCAATGCCATTGGTAATTCTAGATGTGATTGGGCATGAAAAAGAACCATTTATTTGCGGGGTTTTTATAAGAGGAGAGATTGTTCTATTTTTTGTGGAAAATTTGGGATTGCTTGCTGTGAAAGTAAAGGACTGATTTATGTAACTTTCACAAATATGCCTTTTCTCATAGCAAAGCTTAAGTTATGCTTCCTTGAGGCGTGTGTAGTTATATTCCTTACTATTATGTCTGTCTTGTTGGCTTAGTAGGCTGCTTATTCACACTCACTGATTCTCCAAAGAAAAGTGACAGAAACGAACCGAACACAATCCTCTGACATGAGGTGGGTTCCACATTTTCTGAGTCTCACACCCATCACGTGAGAGAATTGTGTTCGGTTCTATAATTAGTTTATGTGCTAACCTTTCGCGTTGCTTGCAATTATGCCTTGTTAACCTTTTTGATTAATGCATTTGAGCCATTCCGATTCTCTAAGCATTGTTATTCTATTTCTAGTTATAAATTACTTAAGAAATGTATACCATGTGGATTAATATAAAATTTACAACATAATTTAATCACAGAGCATCTGGATTGTATTTAAATAGAGGCATGAGAGTTGCCAACTTGGAGTGAGTTTTAGTAATTCTGGAATAGACAAAGCTTGAAGCTTGGGTAAACTTTACCCTATGCCAATGACTGTTTGATTGGCAACACTAGTGGCTAGAGTAATTCCATTTGTGGCTAAACCGAAGGTTAGTGCTAATCTAGAATTGCATGCCGTGTTGACCTCAGGGCGACTAAAAAAAATTCAAGCATCAACCCAACAAAAGCCACCAGGTCTCATGTTAGACATGATATTGTTTTATTTATTTATTTATTTTCGTCATATACAAGTAGTAGTTCTATATCATTAATATGATACCATGTGGAGTGTTTCCTTTCAATAATAATACAGATTAATGGTGAATTGGGTCTCTAAGTGTCTCAAAAAATAGCGACATAGGATATAGGTAGGGTGAAATTATGGCTCGGTCTGGTCTGGTCCGGCCATTCAGGCCCGAGTTCGGGTTGGTCCAAGCGAGCCTCGCGGGCTCTCGCTTTTTGGGAGGCGGGTCGGGTTGGTCCGGTCCATGGACCGAAAGTGGGGGTTAGGCCTGCGGACTTGGGCTCAAGCCGCTGGCCGAGCTAGGCAGGCCTTTTTTTTTTTTAAATGAATAATAAATACATTATCTATGTAGATTTTATCAAGGATAACAAAAATAAAAGAAAATTTGTCCTAGAGTATTTTAGTTAAGATTAATGAGATGTTTGGTTATGTTTCTTGTATGGTGGTATTTAAATTTAATTATGTATGACTTATTTTTTTAATTATAAACTTATAACTAAAAAAGTATGTAATTATGTAATTTTTTCCTTTTGAAATAAATAATTTTATATATATATGAAAATAAAAACTTTCAATATTACAATCATTAAATTAATTATATAACATTTATTGAATGAATAATTTTTATTTCAAAATGAAATAAAATATTACAAAAATTTATATCATTAAATAAAATATGTGTAGACTATTGATGATAGTAGAGCAATTACATCATTATAGGTCAAGTGCATCCCAACTAGGTTAGCACCTACTAGTCTACCAATCATTTGCATCATACTCCACCTCAATAATCTAAATACAAAACAATACCAAAATGAAATAGTAAAAAATAAATTGTTGATCAATCATCGAAGGAGACACACAATTCAGTTGTGTTGCCCAAAAATATTTTCTCAGTTGAGTTGAGATACAAACAAAAAAGTATTAAGGTTGATAAAATATTCCCCTCCCCCCCCCCTTCGCACCCAATGCCAATGGGTTAGTTAGAGTAAATGTGTATGATCGGAGGTTAGATAGTAATGACAGTTTGCAAGCGTATTTTATTTTCCATGTGGATTGTCAATGCGAATTAGTATATTATAGGAATGGTTATTGTTCCATTAATGATAAACAAGTGCCATGGATAGTGAAGTATCGAATTGAAAATTCGAATATTAAAAGGGGTATTATGTATTGTAAAACGAAGGAGTATTTGAAGTATTCTACGAGTAACATGCCAGAAGATTCGCAAATGAGGGTCCCATCTATTGTTGTGATCATCCAAACCATGTTGAATTCTCTCACTTTCACCATAATTTTGTCTTCACGTAAGCGCATCCATATGATTTCTGAATATCATCAGTGTGCCTCAACCATTTTGGGTGAAGACCTGCTACAGTAAAAGCCTGCTACGGTAATCCATAGTAATGTAAGTAAAATAATATATAAAAACTAACGAATGAGTAAATAATGAGTAAAAAAATAATAATTAATTTATGTTCATATATAATTAATGAAAAAAATGAGTAGCTAATAAATTTAATAAAACTAATTAATGTTACTGACTAACGAATACGATAGAAAAATTAGTTTCTTCTGATAAAAGTTTCTTGTTACACAATTGCAATTGCCACTTAGGGATGACACTTCACAATTAATTGAGAGTTAAGAGAGATTGAGAGTTTAAGTGAGAGAACTATTTGTGAGATTTATTTTGAAAATGAGAGAATATTTATAGAAGTTTGGAAGATTGAAGTAAATTTAAAAATAAAAATAAAAAAATGACCGTTGTGTTAAATGGTAATATGACCGTTAAATTATTTTTATTATTAATTTTTTTTAGTCTATAGACGTGCAGACATTTAATTTTTTTTTTTTTTTTTTCATTCATTGCAATTTGTGAGTGATGCTGCATGTGCATGAGAACGCAATGGGGCAAAAGGGGCAAGGGTGGGTAGGGCTAGGAATGGCAACGGGGCGGGGTAGGGCCGGGGATCACACTCCCCGTCCCCAGTCCCCGATGGTGAAAATTCCCCCGGCCCTGGCCCCGATCCCCGACGCGGAACCTATTACTCTCCCCGCCCCCGCCCCCTAACGGGGATCGATTTCCCCGACCCCGAAAATCCTCGGCCAAAAAAAAAATAAAAAAAAAATGGAAAAACAGTAGCTCTCATCATCATTAACATCAGCAACTATAGCCTACAAAATCATCATCAATGATCATCATCATCAATATCAACAACAAAAAATGTATATCTATATCTATATCTATATATATCTCAAATCGGAAGAACAGTGAGAGAGGGCTAAAGGGCGACTAGTGGCGGTAGATCTGGAGACGAGGCAGCAAACGGAGGTGTGTGTGTGTGTGTGTGTGAGAGAGAGAGAGAGAGAGAGGGAGAGAGAGAGAGTGATGGTGGTGTCGGTGACGGTGGTGCGATCAATGGTTGCCGGTGGTGCTCAGAAATGTTCATCGCGGCTCAGATTTGGAAGGAGCTCTCTGTCGCCGATCTATCTCTAGACTTCTCCGTGACTTAAATCTGGAAGGTGTTCATTCATCTCTCTAATAGAGAGTGAAGGGAGAAAAAAGAAAGAGAGAGTGAGTGAGAGAGTGAGAGTTGAGAATGCTTTTTGACCAAGTCCTTGAGAACCTAAGTACCTAAACATATGTATATATATAATATATCATAAAGCAGCCTAAACATATATTATAAATATAATATATATGGGACGTTCGGGTCTGTTCAAGGCAGAGTCGGACCAGGGCCGAGTCTGGGAAAGCTATCACCGTCCTCGACCCGAAAATTATTGGGGATTAAATTTTTAATACTATCCCCGGTCCTATGGGGATAATTTTCAAGGAAAACCCGTTCTAATCGGGGTCGGAGGATCGGGTCCCTGTCGGGCCGGATTTAAATTGCCATCCCTAGGTAGGGTGGCACTAGCAAGCCGGGCAAGCAACTACCTCCGTTCAGGGATATGACCGGCCCAATATATATATATAGTATACAAGATCAAGCCTTTATTTTCTTTATTTTTTAAATTATTTAACTGTTGGTTGCAACTTGCTTTCTATTTATTTTTTTTACTTTTATTTTTTAAAATTTGACCGTTGGAAAAAGGAGGGTTGGGCTGCCACCAAGGCCAAAAAAATTTTGGGTTGGGCCAACCAACCTGGCAGGGCTTCAAGTGTAAGGCCTAGGCCCAAGCCCAAAGTCCTGGGCTAAGCTCAGGCCCGAACCTAACCAGACCAAAACGGGCCTGGCCCACCTCAAGCCGCTGACGGATTTCGGACTACCCACAGGTGTCGGGCCATTTTTACACTGCTAAATATAGGATATACAATCCTATGTTAGTGACTTGTATAGTATGTAACTGGGTCTTTGCTTGGCTGCAGATGACAGTTTGCCCTGACTGAGATCATTGTCCCAATTGGGTTATAAGCCCAGTTTTATTGCATTCATTAATGATTAATTTTTATATTATTTGAAAACTGTCAATGCAATTTAATCTATTTCTCTCGTCCCTTCCATTATGCCTATTAGTCCTTTGCAATCTTTTTTTTTTATTTTATTTTATAACTTAATATGCAGATCAGCTTACAAGTATCTCAACTAGTTATTTGCAGACATTTCTACTGTAATATGATGTCAGTTAATCATTTGTTCTATACATATATTTATATAATAAACTGTCATAAATAAAGTGTACAGGATACTTGCTATTAATGCTTTTATCATAACTTTTCTTATTTTTAAATTCCCTTCTTTAGTAACAATCAAAGTCAAAACAGCTTTTGTAATTGCCGATCTGCAAGGACAGATCTCAAGCACACTCATGTAGGTGCACACAACTTTTACTACATATATAACCCTTTTATTTCCCAACCTGCATCATACAGACTAGTGTAATGACTATGTTTTTCAAGATCTTTCTAAAACACAAGACCTTACAACAATACCGGAATCAAAGACTGTGTTTAATTTCTTTTGCCCATCCTCTCATTCTACATTACTATTAGTATACATAATTTCCTGACCTTTATTTGTATGAAGTGATTAGTGCAAAAACACTAGCTCTCAATCAATAATTCCTCGCTTGAACAACCTATCACCACCTTCAGCCGGGGAATAATTCAAAGCCGGTTGTCTGGTGACATCATCAGATGCCATCACGGCCTTAGCATTCCAATACCAAGGTTGAAGATGAGGCGAAGAAACGGATGGAGAGCTCAAAAAGGGATGAAGTGTAACAGAACCCCAATCTCTAGCTCCAAGCTTTGCTTCCTTCAATCTCTGCCTAACCGACAACTTTCCCACATCTTCCTTTCGCATCTCCGACACACTTCTGAGAATAGAAACACATAATAGAAGCATCAAAACTGCATCTTCTTCAGGCAAGAATTCTACAACCAGTAGCTTCCAGTTTAGAAGCGCTGTTGCTTTTCCAATTGGGTTCTCCTCTGAGAACCGAACCAATGTCACAAACCCATCTTCTTCTGGCTCATTTTCTTGTTCATCGTTTGCGTTTTCTTCATTTTCTTCATGCTTCAAACTGATGTTCCTCCTTTGATACTGCATTTTCCGCCCTATTAACAACTTTACCTGCAATGTTTGATTGGTTTCTGTTGATTATAATTGAAAAAGAACATAAAATCTTTCCTCAGACTAAAACTGAAGGAAAATGAGGGATAGACAAGAAAATTGATTTCCCTACGAAGTAGATGTCAAAATCATCACAACCCATATTAGCATAGTAACTAAAATTTTAATTTCTAGCAAAAAACACAAGAAAATTTTTAATTTCTAGCAAAAAAGACAAGAAAATTTAATTTTGTCAATGCAATGGATGACCTATAATTAAATTTTCAAATTTCTTTATATTTTTCTTGAAAAGTGTATAAAAATGTTCAAGAATCAAATGTTTGCAAGAAAATATATCTACATTTCCATTTCTTTTCTTTCACATTCCACCATTTTTCTTTCTTATCAAATGGAGCCTTAGAGGTAAGAAAGAAAAACTGCACTTTACCATCGTATCAGGAGGTGTTACGCTGTTCAGGTGAAAACTCAGCCCCGATTTTGAGGTTGATGATTCCCACCATATCATCAGTTCATCGCCTGTTGAAAATTTCCATGAAGCTTTCAATTGTTCTGATGGTTCTTTTGGTGTTGCTGTTCCTACCACTTTCACTGCACTAGATCACCAATACAACCATTAGAAAAACAAGCCTTGAGAAATCTAATTCCATGCTGATGAAGATAAGAAAACAAAGAAAAAAAAAAGTCCTACGCCAACCATATAAGGATTCATAGATTCTTGAAACATATTTCCTACTAAAAAGACCCCTTTTGTATTAAATAATATTAATAAAGAGAAGGAGAACTTTCACTCAGTTGTGCATAAGAAGCACGGACACGGATGCGGCATGGACAAGGATGTGGACACGGGGTACGGTGATTTCAAAAAAATGTGGATATGGATACGGCAGGGACACAGCAATAAAATGTGTTTAATATTACATCCACAAACAATCAATATTAACAAAAATTAACTCTAATTTTATATATATATATATATACATATATAAAAAGCACTTTTAAATTAACACTTATAGTTTAATCTTTTTTTTATGAATAATCTATTAAGTATTTAAATCTAAGAAAAAAAATAATAAACATTTAACATTCATTAAAAGTACTAAATAAAATAAGGGAAAAGACGATTTGGCATGTCCCTATTGCATCCCGGCATGTCCCTTGAAAATAAATTAATTAAATATGGAGACACGCCATGTGGTATGTCCCATACGTGTTCCCAAAGTATCCATCAAAAAAATGGGGACACAACAATAAAATATATTTTCATATATTTTTATTTGCTATCTAGATTAATATTACATCTACAAACAATCAATATTAACAAAAACTAACTCTAATTCTATATATATATTTAAAAAAACAACACTTCTAAATTAATACTTGCAGTTTATATTTTTTTTATGAATAATCTATTAAGTATTTAAATCTAAGAAAAAAAATAATAAACATTTAACATTCATTAAAAGCACTAAATAAAATAAGGGAAAAGACGATTTGGCATGTCCCTATTGCATCCCCGGCATGTCCCCTGAAAATAAATTAATTAAATATGGAGACATGCCATGTGGTATGTCCCATACGTGTTCCCAAAGTATCCATGTGTTCCCGAAGTGTCCGTGTGTCCGATACAGATATGGCACTTGTTTTGAAGTGTCTGTGCTTCATTTATTTAGTAGATAGTTTTGAGTGATTTTGTTTGCCCTTTACCTCTTTTACAAAGTAAGAAAACATGAAAACATATAATGCCAACACTGTTTCTCATCCCATTTTCTCGTATTTCTCAGCAACCAAACAATTGAGGTATGGATTTCCTTCATATTGAGATTGTTCAGAGATTCTTGCACTTGTGTGTTCTAAACTTATTACCTCTGCCTAGTCCACACTCCACACACCAGGTAAAGATGAGACCTTGCACATAATTTTACCAAAAAAAGAAAAAAAAAAGAACAGAAAATGGATAGATACATACCAGGAGCTCGACCAATGGAACCAACAACATAAGACCAAGAACCTTCACGAATCTCTATAATCCTGTCCTCCCATTTCACAGCTGATGGAGTTTCACCGCCCCTCCTCCAAAACCCTTCGCCCACTCTATAATACACAAAAATTTTAGAGAATATAATTGTTCAATGAAGAAAGAGGAATGACAAAAGAATTTACCTCATTCGAACAACGAAACACTCTCTCCCAGCATGATCCAGAACAGTGCGAGACAACCACCGACCTTCTTGAGGACGATATTGGTTCATTCTCAGAATCACATCTGATATCATGGCTCCTGAATCATCAGTGACACGATCAGGCACACATTTCAGCAAGTACGATGCTTGAACTGGAGGAGTCATCGAAGAGACAACTCTCACTCTTTGATCATCAACTTCTCTTCCTAGAGTAAGAGAGGTTACTCGCAGTAAGTCATTCCATAGAAATGTCACGGTGTCTTGCAATGTACTTCCTTTGAAACAGCCACCACCACGGTCACGAAGCTCAAGCACAAGTCCCTTGGTTCCAAATTCACAGTAAAGATGCCAAGCTTTTTGCCACGAGTCAAAGGGGAAGCTAGATATTTGTTTATCAATCTTAAGCTCCCTATGACATCTAACCATTCGGAGACGCAGAAATTCATGTGATTTATTCCCTTGCAATGCCTTCACCTTTGAGTCAACCTTTACAAATACACAAACCTGTCTAGTAAAACAACATGGTGTCAATGTTATGGCTTCCCTATTACAGTTTCACACAGAATGAAATTAGTTCAATCATGTGCAGTGGGTATAAGTATAACATAAAATAAAATCTAGTAAGTTCAAATTTATGAATAGGATAACTTATGCACTTATATCATACATAAAATATTTATTTGGTCGGCAAGATAGTAAGGGTGAGCCCATGACAACACGGTTAAGGAAAGAACAAGGTACCATGCAACCAAAAGATTGCATTAATTCATAATTTTGTTTGACCTGTAATTATGGATGTAATCTCAAAGTGGATAAAAAGCTTTTAGCATGAAACACATCATTCATTACTAGGTGAATTATCTAACAAAGATGAAGCTACCAGATAAGCTATTAGCTCCCCTAACAAATAAAAGGAAAATCAAATAAAGAAAATTCACAACTCAATCTCTGATGTCCTTTTACTTACCACATAGAATACTATTGAAGTGTTTTCTATTTTCAGTCTTGCTCAGCCACTGAACCCCACATCAAAGTTCAGTTTATCAATCCAGAGCCTAAACATATTTAATGTGTTAAAAATTAATTGATTCAAGCATGCAAATTAAGAATTTTACAAAACTAAACAAACAGAGAGAAGATTAAAACATGAAACACCAATGGACCAAATAAAGGAGAAAATGTATATTTACGAATATTTCGCGGTCTCCACCTTGACCATGGAGAACCATACTCATCTACTCGCTTTTGTATGATTGTGTCCAAAATCAAGCCAATCTCACACCAGACCCTTTTAGGGCCAAGTTAAATGTTATTTTTAATGGTTAACAAAAATTAATATTGGGCAGTTTATTGTGAAAATGTATGAATAACCAAAAAGAGAACACAACTAAATCATGTTGAGGTCTAATTGTGCAGTTGACTTCGTAGAAATATGATGAACTAAGCCCTAGGTTGTCCTCCCAAAATTTTTATAAAATCTCAATCCATAAGGGTCATGATTTTGAAAGGAAAAATAAATAAATAAAACAATGTTGCAGAAAATGTCCTAGCTTTCTCACCTTAACACAATCACTATGCAATTGTTATTGGCATTGGAATTTTGGAATATTTGAAGACTTTTGACGATAACAATTAGATGCATCATAGGGCTTCTAAAACTTAATCTGCAAATTGACATCTTGCCTTGGACATTTTTAAGTTCTTAAACTAAGACCTAGCAAAGTAATGACACGCTTTGAAAAGTGGAAGATAGGTTGGACCAGTGTAAGGCCATACCGGTACCCATGAAGGATTAATTTCAAGAGGCTAACTCAGCAAATGTGTAGATAACCAAAATCTTGTAATTTGAACTTGATTTCTACACAAAACATTGTACTACAACAGCCACATCATTTGGAAGGGTTGTACAACAAATTTAGATTGAACTGACAAATTTCTAACATTACATAGGCATTTTTCTTAATATATCACATCCAAGAAATTTGACACAGCCAGAATGGTTGGAATCCTCAGTTCAAATTAACTCATTTATTCTACCAAGCTTTAAAAGCTTGACCATGGGGTTATGAGATGCAACTCAACCCAACAAGCAACAAGCCTGGTGGATCAAACAAACTCCTGAGATAATAATTGTTGTAACAGATCTCAATCTCTTTTTTGTGCTAATATAGTTCAGAATTATGAAACAAAAAAACACCAGAACTAAATTTCATGTAGAAGTTTAACCCCATCTTAGTATTTGTCTAAGAGATTTTCATGGAGGTTTTATTCGATATTACAGGCTAGCATGGTGTTTGTTTTTATTTTATTTAATTTTTTTCAATTTTATTTTACAAGAAGGATTAAAAGTGAGTTAGTGGCCTAGATTGTTTTTACCACATCTAAGAGTCCAAGTGCTTCCAATGCAGGATGATATTTAAAGAACCAAATAATAGGCACATAAAAGAAAAGGCCAAAAATATAAATCATTCAAAATTACACACTACATGCATGTGTTAGGTAAATAATTGCCATTTAGTGACTTATTTTTTAGGGTTTGCTTATTTAGTGAATTTTTGACTAGAGAGGTGATGTGACAACTTATAGCAAATAAGCAAATAAGTATATTTACTTAGTGGCTTCCTAAACCACCAATTTTGAAAACAAAAACATAAATGTTGAAACTGCTGAATACTGCCAAAAGCCAACCTACCTCCAGCAAGAACCTGGGTAGCATGGACTCGTATTTTGTGTTGACATCCTCATCTGTGACATCCCAGTAAACCGGCGACTTGACCTTAGCAGCAGCCCCTAAATTGGCTGCGCTGCCAGCTTTCTCATACGGTCGATCAAACACTCTCTCCCAAAGCTTCTTGGTTTCTTCCACCTCTTCTTCCTTCGCCACTTCCCACACCGCCGCCACCTTCCCCGTATCCCCCTCCATCTGCGTCACATCAGCCGCATAAACCGTGGGATAGCTCTGGTTCATACAAAAACAAACAAAATTAAATTAAAATAAACGAGAGATTCATCACAACAATTAAGAGCTTCCCCAATACTTAACCAAATCCTTCATCAAATTTAAATTTGATGAAAAACGAGATCCAGTCCTTTCATCAAATCAAGTATGAATCAAATCTTTCACCAAATTTCCAACAACCCAACAACCATTTTTTTCACTTAAGTTCGATGAAATTGTTAAAAATTTATCTAAAAATTGAATTATTACTATTTCATCCGTAAAGTCAATTAAATTCATATCAGATCTATGTAACTATGTGAAAAACAATACTTAATAATAAATTTGAAAACACACCCACCTGATGGGTAAGCCACATTAGAAGAATATCTGAGGCAGGCACTAATCGAGCACACCCATGATCTGCATATCTCAGCATCATAGATAGATAGCTTTTGTATCTCTGTTTGGCTGCTATTAAATACACAGTCTCAGACATGTATGGCTCTGCTAATTTGGCATATAAATTTCTCAGCTTTAATACTTGGGTTAAAATATCTTCATTTGTAACACAGAGGGCTGAATTATCATCAGAATCCAATTCATTTTCAAATGGCTCAGATGGGTATCTACGGATCCAAATATCTCTACATCTATTCAATGCATACTCTTCATTCTCTTCGTCGAAAATAGCCGGTTTTGCTATGATTTTTGAGAACCTTGAATCACAGTATTGCCTGTAAAAAACCTGAAAATGGGCTGTTATATTGGATTACATTGTGTCTGGGTGCTCAGAAAACAAAGGAAAAGCAAACAAAATCCCAAAAGTTAATAGCCCAAATTGTGAACTTTTCTGGGCAACCGAACAGAGTTCAAATTACAACATATCAATAATAGCTTACCGGATTGAAGGTGTGACAAAACCAGACCCATTGAATATCAATAGGAGGAAGAATCATTGGGGGATGATGAGTTGATGTTGATCCAACCGTAAGATCAGAAATCAAGGGCATCCAAAGCTCATCATACCTGAATAAAACCAATCAATCACAAAATCATCAAACTCAATTCGACATTAGCTACCCTCTGATCAGATTACTTACAATAAGACCTTTATAGACCCCCACACACACCAAAAAAAGACTTTCATTGACCTACACACAAAAAAAAAAAAAAAGTGTTATGACCTTCGTACAGATTCGAGAGTAGTGGGTCTAGTGTGGAGCCAATGAGACTCGTCCACGATTCTGAGAAACCGAAGAGTACGCCTGGCGGCGGACACAAGATTAACGGTTAGTTTAAGTGTGTCATCCTCCGAAATCTCGCCGAAGCTTCTGGTTGAACCGATGTCGGAGATACCAACACTTCCACTACCGCCGTCGCGAACAGCCGCCGACATTATTATCGTACTGACTTAGGACTCAACAACAACAACAACAACAACAACAACAGTGAGCAAGAAAGTGGTGACACCAGGCTCAACTCCATGGCACTAACATAACATAAAAGCTTCTGTGCATTTGGGACAAAAGACGGGGATGGTGCAGTTTGGGACTAGTGGGCAAGAAAGTGGTGACACCAGGCTCACTTTAATAATTCCATCCCTTTATTTTATTTAAAATTTGGGACAAAAGACGGGATGGTGCAGTTTGGGACTAGTGGGCAAGAAAGTGGTGACGCGGCTCACTTTAATAATTCCATTCCTTTATTTTATTTTATTTTATTTTAAAGGACGAACTTGACTTTTTTATCTTTCAGTTTGAGTCATGCATGGATTATATAGTTAATGATATGATGTATATAGTTAATTTTTTTTATCTATTCTAACAAGTTATACATGACATATGTCTAATATGTAAATAGATATGAAAATATGATTTTTCTTTTAAATTAAATGACTAAAATATCATTATTTTCATCATCAATTTTCAAAACCTACCCTCATCTTGATCATCAATATCCATATATTCATTTTTCAAAAGACAACACATCTCTCTCTCAATTAGTCAATACAAAAGATATTTTATGTACACTTATATTGAATTTATTGGCAAAAATACATATTTTTTTGTCTATTTTACTTAATAGAAATAGTCAAATAGTTTAGATTGCAAACAAATTAAAATATTACGATTTAAATTGATAAAATTAAAAATTATAGATTTATTTTGTTACAAGAGTGTAAATCTGAAGTTTTTTTTTTTTTATATTCATAATTACCCCTTAAAATTTTTATCACTGTTGATTTTTTATTAAAAAGAAATAATAATTTATATATTTTTATAATATTCATTTAAAAAAATGATTATTTGTTTGTAAAATTGGACTTGTCATTTATTAATTTGAAGATAAATATGATGGAATTATACTATTTATAAGGTAATCTGATTAATTTATTATGATTAGTTATACTGGCGGTTGGCACACGAGTGTATAATTTAAATAAGTAAAAATAAAATAAAATATTTATTATATATTATGTATCACTGAAATGGTAACCATTTTTTTTCTTAACTGTAATGTCGAAGGCTTGAGTTTCACTACTCTCATATATTTATTTTTTCATTTTAAATAGGAAAAATGAAAGATCCATAACATAAAGAGAAGCAAAAAAAGATTTGAATACCAAATCCAACTTTCACTTAATATAATAGAGTAGATAGTACAAATGTATTAAATAATTTATATATTAGAAGAATATCTGAGGCAGGCACTAATCGAGCACACCCATGATCTGCAAATCTCAGCATCATAGATAGATAGCTTTTGTATCTCTGTTTGGCTGCAAAAAAAAACCAGAATGGACACTCCCTTTCTTTATTAAATTTTATTATTAAATACATATCAGAAATTGTATCTTGTATAAAATTTTAAAATAATACACAAGAAATAGAATATATTTATAAGAAATAAAGTGTAAATAACACTACAAAGAAAAATCTTAGTGATCTCCGATTATCACCTAATATTTTGGTTTAAAGTAATTGAGGGGACAACTTATGAATTAATAATTTTTATAAATCTTTTTTTTATCTAGTGACATAACATCTATTACTTTATTGAAGCATATCTGTTTTGACTTTTAGTTTTCTTATTGTACCACACCTTAATTAATAACCAATTTATAAATTTTAATATTAATTTGTATAGCAGTTTTGTAGAAGCATTAAGTTGCGTTTGATAGAGTTTTATAAATGTGATTTGAGAATATAAGTTGTATTTTGAGTTTGTAAGTTGTGGAATTATAATTTGAATGTAGAAAATTTGTTTGGTTATGGTTTTTAAATAGAGTGTTGAATTGTGTTTTGAAGATGTATGTTGAATTAAGTTTTGAAAATTTGATGTGACATATGAAATAAGAAAATTTATTTGGTGATGAGTTTTGAAAATAGTTTTCTAAACTTAATTCAATCAATAATTTATAATCAAATACACAACTCATGTATCGATATCCGTATTTTTTATCAACAGTAATAAACCAAACTATTTTTAAAATACTGAAATTAAAAATTAATTTTTTTTCAATTAATTGTTTTTCAGTAATTTTTTTGAATAATTTTTTTTTCAAATAATTTTTTCATTTTAACTTACTTCTATGTCAATTATTTTGTGTCAATTAATTTTTTTATCAATTCATTTTTTAGGCCTGTACAAACATCTTGTACAATACGTTTTTTATTTTTTTTCTAAAATTTTGTTAAAGTCAACAACTTTTGAGAATACATATTAATAAAAATTAACATAAATAAGTATGTTTAATATTTTAAAATACAAATCATAATGTAAACCTTAAAAAACATTATCAATTTTTTTTCCATTTATTACATTTTATTGATTTAGTAAAAGAAACGTAACAGTTCAGACATGTATTATTGTACTTCGCAAATCACCACCCGTGAAGCTCATATAATGGGGGGTGATATTGGTGTACAAAATGACTATTTTGCCCCTGTTGATTTAAATGAGAAGTTGTTACATAAGAACAAAATGAAAAGCATAATATAATAATTTCACTTATCCAATATCTACCACCTATTCTATTGTAGCTGTGTGTTCAACACTGTGGGCTAAAGAAAAAGGAAGACGATGCAGATGATGCCAGAAACCTGCAAATTTATCAGTATACGGATGTAATTAAATTAAAAAAATAAATTGGAAAAAAAAATAGATAAGAAATGAAAAGTAAATAAAAAATAAATAAAAAACAACCTTTTGAACCTTCTGAACCTCAACCTTTCTATAAAATCTGAATCCGCATTCCTTTAACCACACCATCTTCACCATATCAATGCAACACCTTCAACAGGTCCATCAGAGAACAACATTAATTAAATTCAATATATCCGTGTGAAGGAAGAATTCAATTACAGGTTAGTTTTCATCCCAGTTCATATTAGTTTCACATTTCTTATTAGCTTCAGAGTGTAGGAAGGGAAAGTGCAGTCGAAGAGCAGCACCAGGACAACCGGAAGGTCATCCCACCGGTTAACCGACTGGTCATCCGGCCGATCATCCCATTCCAAGCACCAATTCGCCCTTCGCACTTAATTTCCCTATATGTTGCTGATCTGTTCCTTTTTTTCATATCTGTTCCATTTTTTCACACCAACATCATACTGTTTGATATATTTTTCATACATTTTTCTTAACTCATATGTTTTAATATACATTTTTCATACATTTTTCTTTCACTTTTGCAGTCATCATGCCAAGAACAAAACGAGCCAGACCCGAACGCGGAGAATCCTCAAACCCTGTACAACGTGAACCACAGCAACAACATCATGACTATCCAACTAATGATTTTTTCACATATCATCATGAACAAGTCTATTCACATTTCATTAATTGACCAATTGTTACGAGGAGAGAGGTAAAACTACCTTCTCAATATAATCCACTCTTGCTTGGAAAATTAGATACAATGGGATGGTTACCTTTAACTAATTTACCAAATAAGGTATATCCCCGTCTTGTACAATTATTTTATGTTCACTTGGCACCTGGTGACCAACAAAAGGAACCGTTCAGTCTGACTTCTTATGTGAAGGGGAAAACAATCACACTCAGTCTTTGTGCTTTCACACAAATTATTGGAGTTGAAACAAGAGATTTACAATGCTATTTTCAAAATGAGGTTGCCTTAGAAAAAATTGTTGATGATGTCACTGAGGTTTATACCACAATTTGTGACAACCGATTCACCGGCAATAATTTACAAGCCAGACATTTAAAACCCCACCTTCGTATTCTTCATCGATGGATAGTTGAAAATGTCACTCTCAAAAAAGGACATTATGATACTGTTTCATGTTTTAATGTTTATTTGTTATATTGTTTTGAAATTGGACAAAAATTAGATTTACACTTCATATTACTGAAAGAAATGATGGTTGCAAAACTTGATACTCTGAGTGGCCGGTCACTACCTTTTGGAGCTTTGTTAACCATAATTTTCAAAGCGCATAATGTCAACCTTGAAGGTGAAGTAGATGTCAAAATCATTTCACCAATTTCTGAGTACACACTGACCCGAGTTGGTGGTGCTGATACCTTGATGGGCTCTATTAATTTTGAAAATGAACCAATACCTGATGAGGAAGAACCCAATGACAATGTCATGCCACCAAATGAACAACCCCATTACTGGACTAATTATTTAGCCTTGGAACAAGAACGGTACAATCAGTGCCTACAATAGGAACAACAAATCGCTAATCAGCTCAATACATTGGGTACTCGGTTCGATAAATTTGTCGCCGCTCAGAACTCACTAATTCAACAATTTGGTGAGTTTCGTGTAGACTCAGGGAGACGTGATGAAGTGACAAGGAACCACATTGATCAAATTGACCATCGAGTCACTCAGCTATACCATTACTATTTCCCTCCACCTTCAACATCACCTGACAATGATGCTTAACTTGTTCAAAAATCAATTTAAATGGTTCACAGATGTAATGGTTACATTTTTTTCTCTTTTTTTGTTTTGGTTATTTGTTTTCTCATTTTGTTGTGATTGTTTTATTTTGTTATAATCTTTTGTATTCACGTAATAAATAACAAAGCCTTTTTTTCTGCATTGTAAAATTAATCAGTCACAATGTTATAATAATCTGTGAGTTAGATTATGCATTGGAAAAAAGATTTGTACAAAAATTAATAAAAAGAACTTAATAAATGTCTAACAAATCCTTCATTTCAATAAAATGAGAAAATTGAACAATTAAAAAATAATTGGTGTGTATCAATTAATAAAAAAATTAAATTAATAACAAAACCAAAAAGTTAACAAAGTAAAAAAAAAAACAAATTAACAAAAATAATGTTGTGAAATGAAATAAAACAAGTTAAAAATTTGTAGTTATTAATTTTTTTTTTAATGAAAAGGAAAAAAAAAGTTAATATAAACTTGCTTACAAAAAGTTAAAAAGAACAAAAAATAAATTCATAACCGAATTAATAACAAAACCTTCAAATTGTTTAAAATTTAACAAAAAGTCAAAAAGATGAATATGTCATGTACAAATCAATTATACAAAATTTAAATTAATAACAAAACCATTATTTTAATAAAATGAAAAAAAGCCAGTTAAAATGAGAAAAAAATTCCAAGCTAACATTAAAT